TCTAGCAACAGAGACAAGACTCCACCAAGTGTTAAATATCGCAAAAAGCGCAAGTTCGAACCCGAAGTGCTTGTCTGGCTGGCCGCTTCTGACAAAGGTGTTTCAAAACCATTTTTTATACCCAGCGGCCTTGCAGTCAATAAAGCCATCTATGAAATGAATTGTGTTAGGAAAAGATTAGTGCCGTTCATCAACGCTTATCATTCCGATGGTAATTACATATTTTGGCCGGACCTGTCTTCATCGTATTATGCCAAAAACCGTGACCAGCTGCTACGAGACTCATAACATCAATTTTATCAAAAAAGTTGACAATCCGCCAGCCGTACCGGAGTGTCGCCCAATCGAAGACTTTTGGGCTATTTTGAAAGGCAAAGTGTATAAGAGTAACTGGCAAGCAAAAGACGTGAAACAACTACGAACCAGAATAAAGCTTTGCCTGAAAAATATTGACTTTAACCTTGTTGTTTTACTTTTTGGGTCAACTTGTGTTAGAGTTGGCCGAATCCGAAGAAACAGACTGGTTGAAGACAAACTTAATTAAAATAAATAAATAACTAAAAACTCTTTTTAATGATAGTTTTATTTAATCTCAACCATAAAAACTTTGGGAGTAATTGCACTTGAAAGTTTGTCCGGATTTTTAGTAACCACCCGTTATATATGTTGTCTTTTTAGAACATATGTCTTTATGATTTTTATAGATTTCATATTCTTGAATTATATAAAATTTCATTTGGCATAAAATACATGCAACAGTCAACATTTTAATGAGAGAATTTGTTTTGTTACTTGTTAATAAATCTTTATATAATAAATGTTTTTGGCATTGAGGATATATTGCTTTACTAATTGGCTTTAACTTTATATTTTCTACAATACAAAAAAAGCAGAAAAGATGCTCGCAGTTTTTTAAAGTTAAAAGTTGCTTTGGAATTTTACCATATATATTACATACGCAATGTTGCAAATGCGGATTCAACTCATTATTTAGTTCTAATATATCTATGTCTTTATCCCGTATTATGGTTTTTGCTTCTTTTATGGTAGTGAACATTGCAAATGTCCACATCTTTGAATCATTTTTTTGGCGGCCACTACATCTTGCTTTATTTCTAGATTGTTGTTTAGAAACTAAAGCTTTTATAAGCTTTTTTAATGATTGGCAGTAAAATAGTCATCACAGTGTGGTTTTTATTTAGTACAGAGACCAAGGGCAGTTAATGTTTTTCTTGAAAGCACATTGTTTATTGTACAATAACATTTTTTACACATTTTTGGAGGATGGATAATTTCCATTTGGCATTTTAATATTTTTATCCTGCATTATTATAACAATTAAATAATAAATAAACTAAACTTTATGCATTACTTAGAATTTTTCGGATACATTTTTATTTTGACTTTGTTTACAAGCAAAAGCTTTAAAAGTAACCAATTTAGGCATTGTTATCTATATTTTTTTAATTATTTTTTATTCCCAACAATGCTGCAAGCAACTACTATAAAGTTGGGAGTTGCTAGAAAAAAAGAGTAGAGTTATAGAGCAAGGAAACGGTTGACAGAAGACTTTAAGTCAGGAAAACATGAAGATGGGACAGAGTTCCTAAGGGTGAAGTGCTGGGAAATAAACTAGACAAATAAATGTATTTAGAGCATAAGGAGACAGATACAGTAAAATAATGATACTTTGATAAATGAAAAGTCAAGCAGGAATGAGTTTTGGTTGATATAACTAGAGATAAAAGCTCTTTTAAGCAGCAACCATTATAGTATTTATAAAAAAGAAAAGGAGATGCAACTTTACGACTATGGAAAAGAGGCTCAAGCTTAGCAGATAGACTTTGTTTAACTCTATTTACAATACGTTTTTGGACCTTATCTTGAAGAGAAAGAGCATTCTTAGAAAAACCAACCCAAATATGACAATAGTATTTCACACAGGAACGAATAAAAAATTTGTGGAGGTAGAGCATGGAATCAGGAAAGAGAAAATGATGAGCACGATAAAGAGAAGCAAATTTAGCATATGCTAATTTAGCAATCCATTGTATATATGGTTTCCATGAAAGTTCAATAGTAAATTATAATCCAAGAAGAGGTAAAGAGGAATTAGAGAAAGTGTTGCCATTCATTAAAATAGGAGTGTCAACAGTACTGCAATAGTTATTTGAGGTAAATAATTGAGTTTTGTTGGAATTTAAATTTACAAGCTGCTGTAAGCTTCAATAAGTTACAGAAGTGAGATCAGATACAAGATGGGCTGTCTGTTCCTATGCAAAAAAGAAAAGAATTTTTGTCAGGACATTAGTATTAAGTTGAATTATCAGAAAAAAGAGCTACTTTAAATGTGAGGTTGTCAGGAAGATCAATAATGTAGATAAGTAATAAAACAGGACCAAGGATAAAACCCTGAGGTACCCCAGAAGTTACAAGAAATAAGGAAGAGTGTTGACCTTCGAGGATAACTTTATTAAGGCGGTTAGAAAAAAAGCAATTTGATTATCTAAAAAATTTTCCAGAAACACCATATGAAACAAACTTATGGAGATTACTATCATATATGTCTAGAGCAATAGCCTCTAAGCCTCCATCTAATGCACGATAAAATCATTATTCATATATACTTATATATCTTATACTGCTGAGTTAAATGAGCATGATGATGTCATATTCACCTAATGTCAAATAGCCTGCTGCCGGGGGCTTCAGTACATACATCGACTGACAAATAGCCTGACTCGCAGTGGAGTGCTGCTACATCGACTGAGGGTTTGGTATGGGTCAGCAACCTTTTCATTTATTATTCTTCGTTTTCCCTCATCGTTTTCTAAAAACGCTCACTTAATTTAGGCTAGCAAAAAAAGTGAGCAATTGCGCATATAAATTTGCTATAGTAGATATATATATATATATATATATATATATATATATATATATATATATATATATATATATATATATATATATATATATATATTATTTTTGTTGATACAAAATAGTTTATTTATTAAGGGTTAAAGTCAACTTTATTAATAAGTATGAAATTTGACAAACGGTGATCTCTAATGGAATAGCTACTTTACTTACTTACAATAAACTTTACAAAAGCCTAAATTGAATATTTGTTTGAGCGTTTTCCAGAACGACAACAATTCATTTGTCATGAAAACATTCAAAATGTTTCGTACTATATCAGATATATATTTTCCTCCTGCTGTTGCTAGCCAGTTAATCTACATTCAAAAAAAGAAAGTAAACAATTTAAAAGTACACAAAAGTGTATAAATAATACATAAATATATATAAGTGATTACTAAAAAATAAAATTTATATATGAATAAAAATTATATAAAAATAAAATTTTGTATTATATAAATAAAAGTTAAATATTCTAATATTTAATTTTTCAATTGATTTTCAATGGATGCAACCGGAGTTTTAATTTAAAAGTTTTTCAATAATATTTAAGTAAAACTTGCAAAAAGTGAGGCTTTTAAATATTATTCTTTTAACAATAGTCCGTTATATAATCTAAATGATACATAAAATCACATCAAAAAAACATAGTTTAGTAATGATAACAAATTGTATATTACAAAAAGTAAAAGTCTTAACACACCTAGGTTTTTATTATATTTTATATATTTGCACTTTTTCTTTTATATATATTTATTTTTATCGATCAAACATACTTACAACAGTTATAAATTAAAAATTATCAAAGCGGTAAGCCACATGATATTATCGAATATTCTAGAGTTTACAATGCATTGCAATAGAATTAATACAGTTGGTTAAAATTTCAAAAATCAAAATGGGGCAAGATTGTGAGTTTTATATGTATGACTCATATGATAATCACTACAAATTTAGCACGTATTTTTTTAAGGGTTATGCCACATTAAGTGGAATAGTTATGTGAACCGCATTATGTGTTCCACAAGTAGGCCACACTTATCTTCATCAAATACGTCATTCATCAACTGTAATTTATTTGTGCACTTTTAATCCACACGAAAGCACTATGACCTCATGTGGGACATGTTTACCTTTCTTGTCGGGTAGGACTGTTATAAGCTAGGACTGATAACATTAAAGCTAGAAGAGTACTTACACCTTTCAAAATTAGTCATGTGCTTTTATTAAAAGCCTCTTACCTAACAACTTTAAACCGTTGCATATTGAATGTTGTATAAATATTTTCCTGTTCGTATATGTAGCTATAATGCTGTATGTTACAAAAACAAATTATAGTATTACAAAAATAATCATGTCTATTATATTACAATAACATACTTCTATAAAATTGTAAATTTCATATTTTATCTAACATTTTGTTTTTCAATTATTATTATAAATTACTTTACACTTAGTAAGTAAAAGTGTATAACTGTTGTAAAATCTATTAAATTTTTAATGTTGCCAAAACTGGACAGAAATCGTAATTCATTTTTATGTTAATTGATATCGATAAAGCATCTCGTGCAACCCAGTGGGCACGGAAGTAAAAAAGACGTCTTTTAAACGTTTAAAATACGTCCAAAACGTTCAAAAGACGTTCAGAAAACGTCTAAAACGTGTATAAGACGTTTAAAAGACGTCCTTTTTTACTTCCGTGCCCACTGGGAAGTGCTTTGAAAAAAATATATATATATATAAATATATATATATATATATATATATATATATATATATATATATATATATATATATATATATATATATATATATATATATATATATATATATATATATGTATATATATATATATATATATATATATATATATATATATATATATATATATATATATATATATATATATAATTTCCTTTTTACCTAACGCGTAAGATATACGATCTACGTATACAATGATCTTATAATTATATAGCTTAAGCTTGAAAGTATATTCATTCTATCGTAACCAAAGCAACAGATTACTGTAATTATCACAATGACTCCATCGTAAATGTTTAAAAAAGAACTTTACTTTTAATATGTTGACGAAGCACTGTTGTGGTAAAAAAAAAATACAAACTTTATGAATTCATGAAATGTTGATTAAGCAACAATTTTAAACCAATTACATAATTTGGAAAGAGTTCTTATGTGTAGTAATGCGTGACAACATATTATAAAATTTTAATAAAAAATAACAACAGTATAAGTATTGTTAAAGTCAAATGTTTTACAGCAATTTAACAAAAAATTATGAAATGAATTAATTATGAATTCTGAAAATATTTTCTATAAACGAGTAGTGAGCAATGCCCTTTTATATCGAAATGGACCTTCACCAATACTTGACGAGGAGCTGTTGAGTTCCTCAAAAATAAAATACAATAACGCACCTTTAGGGGTAAGTGAATACTTTGCATCAGAAGAGAATGAAGCTCAAACAAAAAATGCTGGAAGTGAAGTTCTTATCATATATTTTGCAAAGCTCGGTCGTTCATATGAAAATATACCCGTTGATTTAAACTACGTTGAAACACTTATTGAATCCGGTGCAGACGTAAATTTTACTGATAACTTTGGCCAAACAGTGATCCACGAGGTAAATGTTCATTCTTCAAATTTTTTTTTTAAAGAACCTTTTTTTTTTTTCTAAGGTTATTTTAATTAAAAAAAAAATTTTTCGACTTTAAAGGCAGCCTTGAGATGGCCTATTGAAGTTGCTCAGTTTTTATTTAATCACAGTGCAAACTTGAATAAAGCAGATAAGTATGGTAGAACGCCTCTCCATGTTGCAGCTTCTGTTGATTATCCAGAAATGGTTAAATGGTTGATTGATAATGGAGGTACCGATTAAAATTAGTAAATAAAATAAGTAGAAAATAGTAAAAAAAAAGTAAATAAGAAAAACCAAACAAGATTAACTAATTTATATTTGTTGTTTGATTATTTTTTAATGCACATAATTGTTAATAAAAAATAAATTTATAAACGGTTAGAATCTAAATTTGGACTGAGTGTCGAACTCTGGGCCTTCACAAAAAAAATTTTAAAGGAGTAAGAGGGTAAGAGGGGTGACAAGTCTGTTTTTTGCCTACATATGCCTAAAAAAAAGTCCTTTTTGACTGACATTTGCCGACTGCCTGCTAAAGTTCCATATTTGCCGACTCCAGGTTACATATTTTCCGACTAATTTTTGAATAAAATTTTCCTAGGGAGATTAGGCACCCCCTACACCCGCCGTGAGACGGTCTATATTGCATTATTAAAACTCAATATGCCAAATCGCAATTATTTTTAAAAGGCGAATATATTTGTAAATATTTCTTTTTGAATCATGAAAAGCATATAATTTTTAAAGTGTTTTTAAATCAAGATACCATAAAAAAACTATATTGACAGTACAACCGATGACAGCACGATCACTTACAAAGAGAGTAACACCGGCATCGTTGATATAAAGATTTTTATATCAAAATGCACAAATAAAATAAGTTAGAATCAACTCGTGCCCACTGGGTAGGATTTACTGCTCTTACCCAATCGGAAGTTGGATAGTGACTAGTTAGCAATACTCCTTATGATAAAGACAGTAATTTAGCCAAAAGGTTCGCTAGTTTTTAGCTAGAGGTAGAGTTTTTAGCAAGGTAGAAAGCTACATTACAGTGGTTTAATATCGCTATTTTAAAATCCGCAATACGTTTCTACTTATCACTATAGCAATAGGTAGCTATAACCACCTAACGGCTTTAAAATTGTAGTTATGTAGTAACTAACAATAAAAATACGGTATGTAGTTATCAATATATCGTAACAGCATTGGTAGCTAAAAATCGGTTTGCAGCAAAAGGTTTTTTGACATTTTATCTACAGTTTAAAACTTTAAGACTAGTATGGATTATAGCTATTGCAACATTTTTACTTTATTTTCTAAATAAAGTTATTTAGAAAATTTATATTATAAGGTTTTATGTACATTACAGGTTTTAAATCAGTTGCAACTTTTTAAATATACTGTACAATACACTATGATGTTTTTAATTTAATCATATAAATTTTTTAAAAATCCTTGTTAAAATGTTGAATACACCATAAAGTTTTCACAAGTTTATATATTTATTCAATTAAAAAGCACACATTACTTAAAATATATCAGTACATACTGTACTTTATAATAAAAAATGTATATAAATAAATATATATAATACTAATTAAGTAGAATCCTATTTAGTTTTTGCTACATTTTTTGTTGCAAGACACAGTATGTACTAATATAATTTAAGTGTATATATTGTTTTAGTATTATTTATAAAAAGTATAACGGTATACTAAGTATAAGGCTCATAACAATTTTTCACCATTTAGTTTAATACTCATACAAAAAGTTAATGACCGCAACATAATGACAAAACAAAAGTAACAAGAACGAAAAAATTCAAAATTAAAAGAGCATTAAATTCATTGTTTTTTAGTTTAGCAACTTCCTAAAATTATAGTTAAAATATATATATATATATATATATATATATATATATATATATATATATATATATATATATATATATATATATATATATATATATATATATATATATATATATATATATATATATATATATATATATATATATATATATATATATATATATATATATATACGTATATATATATTAATTCTATATAATTTTAGTTAATAAGAACCTAGCGGATATTGTGCCCGATTATTTGCTAAGCGAAGTATAACTCTATATTTTTTTTACTTATCTTTATTATAGTGTTTGTTTATAATTTCATACTTTGTTGTTTAACTAAACTAATAATTGAACTATACTTTGTTGTTTAACTAGCTATAATAATCTCCAACCATATGAAGTTAATATTATGTTGCTATCACTCTAAGCCAACTTTAAGAATTTAAAGAATGGATCAGGGTAACAATATCAGTTTTTGCTATATCTTATAACATCTGTCTAACAACATCTGTAAATATAACGAGGTATAACAACATCTGTCCAATAACATCTGAAACTTCGTTGATGTCTAATAACATCTGTATAAAAAGTATAAGATTACTACAGATAATCATCATGTCAGTCACATCTTTTAAACTATCTTCAGTTACATCTTTTAAACTATCTAAGTGTAGCAACATCTGAACAACTACATCTGGAAATTTTACAGATGTAGTTACACCTTTCCAATTTTTTTAAGAATAGCTAGATCTGTACAACTACATACGTGAGTTCTACAGATGTAGTTACATCTTTTCGATTATATTAAAATATAACTACATAATTTTATAAAATTATTGAATTATAATGCATTATTTTAACCAGATGTAGTTACATATATGGTTTTTTTCGGATGTAGCTACATTTTAAATAGATGTAGTTACATATGAAAGTTTTTCAGATGTAGTTACATTAAGAGGAAATCATGTTCTAGGAGGAAATCATCTTCAACATGTTTTTGGACTTGGAGAAAAATTACCAGATGTAGTTACATCTGCAACCAGATGTAAATCTAATAGTAGATCGAGTTAAAGCATATAGGTTGGAGGATAAATTTTAATTTTTGACATTATTCTACGAGAACGAAATGAGGAGAAACTTAATATTTTTGGTTAAAAAGAAACAAAAAGACATTCATCACTTGGATAAAGCGATTGAATAAGATTTATCTCAATGGTCTAAAGTTTCACTTCAAACCAGCATGGAATTTTGTACGCATTTTCAACACATTTCCTTTTTCCATTACCAAAAATGAGCTGTCTATTCAAGACAGCGCTAAGATCTAAAATGAACGTCAACTGGCTCACCGATCTTCTAGCAATTTTCATTTAGCAGGATCTTCTAGCACTTATTATTTAGCATGATCATCAAAAAACTTTATGCTACCACAAAGTCATTGCAAATTTTGTAATAACTGTTGAAACTTGTATTCTTAAGCTAAGGTTTAATGATTTTTGTGGAATTACAGCAAAACATCTTAAACACTCTTTTAACTACAACCTCCTAATAAAGCTTTAAAATTTTTGGAATCTCATCATTAACTATGGAGTGGTTTCAGAATACTCACCAATTTCAATAACTGTTCCAATAGTAAAATCTTATAAAAAAATCTCTTGATAATCCAGATAGCTATCGTGGAATTAGTATAATACATAATATATAGTTTACCTTTTAACAAAACTCTTTGAATATATTATCATGCAAGTATGTACGGAAGTATCGGAAAGCCACTTTTATCGATTTGGTTTCAATTAAATAGCTCCAGACTTTATGCAGAGTTCCTTTTGCGTAAAATATTAGACGCTGCAAAAATAATAACTCATCCAGGGGCGGATTCAGCGTTAGGGAAAAAGTAATGTCAAAAATGATATGGGTCGGGCAGGGGTGTTCCCTTCCCAAAAAAGAAATTTTTATAAATTAAAAAAATTATGTTTGAATCTGATAATACTAGTAAGAAGTAATTTATCAAATATTATTAATAAATAACTAAAACAAAAACAGTCAATAATGCTATTGCATTGCATTTATAGATAGTTTTGCATATTATTATAGGTAGTTTTGGATAGCCTATTCTAACAAAAAGAGAAGCAACTTTAAATTTTTAATAAAAAACTCCATTAAAAAACGGGATAAAAATTTAAAATGATCCTGCTTCAAGCACTTTAACAATATATTATCTTCAATTTATAAAATTTTGATAGCATGAGCACTTTTTAAGCAACAGTTGTTTTACACAATTCATTTTTTTGTATTTTTATGCTGATTCAGCATTTTTTCTTTTTTATACTTTCTTACAGTTGCATATATTTATTGTTCGTGTTTTAAGTTAAAAATCAAAATCAAGAATATTAAAAATTACAGATTTTTTATTACCGTGGATGAACTTTAACCGTTTTGCAGAATAATCAAGAAGATTATTCATTTACACAAGATGTTGTATAAAAAGTTACATACTTAGACAAAAATCAGTTTTCATTTCAATTTTATCATTTTTAGTTTGCGAGAACGGAACTCTAAGGGCTAAATATTCTAGCCGTAGAAATAGCCGTAGCATTAGATAATCTTTTAAAAGGACGTTATAACAAACATGCTACTCTGTACCTATAAGGCGAACTGCTACGCGTAGGCGATCAGACAAGTCTAGGCAACAAAACTGCCAATAAATCTACTAAAACCTATTTATTAAACACTTTATGTTTTAGCTGATGTTCGTGCAATAACGTTGAATGAAAATCAAACTCCGTTACATTATGCTTCAAAATGCAGTTCTGTTAATTCTCTTGTTACTTTATTGGAAATGGGTGCAGGCTTAAATGATACAGATTTTAAGGAAAGAACGCCTTTACAAATTGCTGCAGAAACAGGTAACACAAAAATAATTTTTTCATAGTTAGTTCAATATTTAAAAATTAATAATTGAACATTTTTTTATTTAAGCAGTGGGCGATTCTCATGTTACGTGTTTGACTTGGTTTAATAAGTTTTTAATATAAAAAGATAATATAATATAAGGCCAAAAAAGTTTTCTACAGATACGCAATTCTTATAGTTATTCTTAAAGTTTTTTTTATCGTAGGAAATGTGTCTGATGTTTATTGCACTTATTAATAAAAGAACTGATTAGATGCGTTACGCGTGTGACGCGCAAAAAAATTTAATTTTGAATAAAAATTATTTTCCATTTGTCTTTTTCAAATTCTGCTGCTTGATTTATTTTTATACAAACATGTTCCTAAAATTAAGATAATTTAAAAATATTACTTTCTCAACTAAAGAATTTTTTTTTTCTCTACTACTGCTTCTTTGCACATTTTTTGATTGTAATTAAGACGTTCAGAGTCGTCAATGGTCCACTGCTGCTTTTTAATGAGTCTTGTTGCCAATAAGTTGAGTCAATGTTGGCAAAAAAATATTAGAACCTCGGCGCCAAGATATTAGGGGCGCCAGAAGACGAATAAAAAAATTAAAGTACTATATATCTAATAAATATATGGTGAAAATGTAATAAACTAATAAACGGTAACAAAGTATTAGAACCAACAATTGATCTTCAATATTTTTATGTTTGTGATTTTTACTTGGTTTAATTGAATGTTTGAAATGCTCATTATCTCAATAAAATTATCTCAACAAAATAATAAAAATGGTTTTTACATTAATGGCTTATTATATTTAAAGTAGAAAGTTGTGACTGTTTTTCAGTTTTAAAAAATTTACTCAGTTATTTATTTTTAACTTTTTTTTACTCCTGTTTATTGATAAACGATACAAGAACTTTTCTGACAGATAAAAAATGACAAATAAATAGTAAGCTTATTTTATTAAAATGTTAAAAACAAACCTTCGCGTGACAAAAAAAAAAAAAAAAGACAAAACGTTTTCATGTCACAACAAATAAAACAGCTCATTTTATTTGTTTTCATATGATAATTCATTCATATGATGTCTTTTTATAGTGTTAAATCGTTTTTCAATAACATTCTTTTATAATTTTCACGCAATTTTAAAAAGTATATTTTTATTGCTTGATTATATTGAATATTTACTTAACAACAAAATGCTGAAAAATATAATGCTGTATAAACATGTGACTTAACCTTTTCCCTTGTCACCAGATAAATATGTTTATCTAATGATGGCAAAGATATTGATTATAGTCTTATACCGATTTCTAGAATAAATAGCCTAGAACAAGCACAAAGAAATGCACATTACAGCGCATGTTTTAGAAGCAAAAAAAAAGTAAGGTCTTTCGCTTCTAAAGCAAGCGCTTTAACCACTGTGCCTTGATTGCTTAAATTTATTTTTTAATTCTAACTTTTTTAATTGGACAGTTATTGTGTAGCTTTCAAGGATAGAAAAGTTTATTATAACATTACGACATCTAAACTACAAGTATATATAAAGTTATAAAAAGTAAGTAACAATTCTACAAATACCAAATTTACTGTATATATCAAAAAAATGTTGTGTAGCATTCAACTTAATTAAAGCGTCATATACAATACTTATGCTTTGTTAGACAAAACATATCTAAGCTAAAGGTTCCCTTTCATTTTACAGATGTCAAAAACAACTTGAAGACACTTGATTGCTTGTTCTGCACACTTATTTGTAGTGTGGGTTTCCAGTTTCGATGGTTCCTGATTCCAAAACTGTTTTACTGAGTTTAACGCTTTTTGTGACCGTGCAAGCGGCTACATAGCTTCCAATTTTTATCAGAGTTAAACATTTGGTCAATAAACCAATGATCTAACCATCTGTAAGAGATGAATCTATAAATGTTGAGTAGTGAGTCTCTTCTCTCTGGTAGAAAAATAAATGCCAAAAGAGCTAATATTGAGGGAATTCAATCTTCCATTTTTTAATTTAGGTATTTTTGAAAACTTCACTTTAGAAAATGCTCCAGATTCTTTAAAGCGAATGACCGAGTCAAATGAAATATCAAAATAATTTGTTAATCGAAATATCAAAAAAAAAATTCATATTATCACGTCACCTTGCTGTTTCAGTAATGACTTCTTTACCATTCTTAAAATTCTTCGTGAGCTATTTGTAGTTTAGTCTCTTGCAAAAGTTTAGAATCAGTTCAGTATTTTTCAGGTAAATTCATAGTTTTTTGGAAATGACATACTATTACGCTAAGGACTCGGTCAAGAACATGATGTCGACAACCAATGAATAGTAATTTTTCCATATATTTTCAGCAAAACGTCTTTGTAACTGACTAATAATTCTACTCCTTCTTCCAGTGTTTACATTTGTGAAGTCCGCTACAATCATTTTTATATTCTTCCATAAATTGTATTTATCGAGAATAGCTTTTATATCTTTAGTAACAATATCTGTTTATTCATCTGGTATATTTTAGTGCTTTTAATTGAACTTTTCTTTTTTTATACTTTAACGCTAACACTTAATATTCGTAGTGACAAATACGTTCACCATCAACGTGTAGTCACGAGCTTTGTAAATGTAGTGTTTGCGTCATTTCTTCTTTTAAGTTTAACAGCTACTTTAACAGCTAATCTAAACATGTCTAGTTTCTGAATGTTGATCTCATTTTGAGATAACTGTTAAATAATGTTTACTTCATTGCTGGTTAATAAATTTGATGATGTTACTAATTCCGTTGTAATTTTGGTTTTGCTGTGTTCTTGCAAGTACATGTGTTCTTGCAAGTAAAAGTTGAACTGTTCTTCGGAATCTTCAGACTATTAATATTTTCTCTCAGATTAGGATTCGGAAGTTAACTTTGTTGCTGTTACAATTACTGTTGTTGCAGGAGCGTGTTTTGTCACTTGCCAAGGAGAGGGCTAAAAAGGTTTTAAAAAAAAAAGGTCCGCATATTTTCATTTATGTAACTTTTAACCTTTTGTACTTTAGTGTAATAATCAAGTTCATGTATGTATAATTACGTATAATAATCAATTTCATTCGTCAGTGTAATGCTCTAACTTCATTCGTCAGTGTAATGCTCTAATTTCATTCGTCAGTGTAATGCTCTAATTCTGTATAATAATCAATTTACAAAAGAATATTTCTGAAAAAAATTCCTGTGTTATTAAAGTAGGCTTCGAAGTCATTTTTCCTCTTTTGGATTGATGGATTAGATTGTTTTTCAACTAGCAGTCTTGCCAGTTGTATTTTTGACCTGTTTTTTGATTTCAATCTGAAGATGATACAATCTTGTATTCTTACTACAGAGCCATTCGCCATCTTTTTTTGTGATGTCAAAAACTTTTGTTTTACACATTTATCATATTTATAGCACTTGATCCAGTTTTGTCATTAACAACTTGAATTGATAAATGTTTGATTTTTGTTTGCTATAAACTTATTAATTTTTTCTCAATTTACTTTATGCGTTTTCGTGTCCCTTTGATGGATTCTCTCAGGAATAGATAGAGGTCATCTACGAACAGATAGCGACCACTTACAAATAAATAGTGATCAACAGTTTGAATTTGAGTTTTATCCTAATGTTAGCTTCCAGTAAATATTCTTCTTTTGGATCAGTTAGTTCTTCTTTTCTTTATTTCAGTCGTGAAAGCGCTTTTCTTATGATTGAAGATAATACTTGAATATATTTCTGAAAGGCAATAGTAATAAATATAAGTGCTATTGTATTTCTATATTATTTGATTGACAATTATGCCAGTTCATATATAATTTTTAGTGTTGTTCAACTAAGCAGCTTAATTAGTCTAAATCTAATTTTGCTAAGTTCCATAAGGTTCAAGAAAATTCTAGGATTCAGAAAATCATAATGCTACTGCCTGCAAATACTACTTATATACCATTTTACAAATTTCGTTTTGTCGGTGACTTTTATAGAAAGTTAAACAGAATAAAACCCATTATCATTACTTTTGAACACGGGTTCATCAGTTTATAAGACAGAAAATTATTTATTTTACAAAAAGTTAAAAAGTCATATCCCTAAAAATAAAAGTAAAGTTTTGATATCAGCATTGACACCTCAATGTTTTAAAAGCTTTGAGAAAAATTAAAATTACTCTATTAAAAAGTTTAAATCTGAAAATTATCTAAATTAAAAACTTTAACATCAAATAATTATTCTGAAATATTTTTGGAGATTTTAATTACTGGTTTCCAAAATACAAGGATCTTGTAGTCGTTTAACTGTTAGTCACTGAGCAGTTGTTGGGTCTGAGTTGTGAATTCATTTATTTTTATTATTTTTTCCCCTTTTTGGCGCCGCCACTCCCCTCCTCCCCTTAAAGAGGCGCCCGGGGCAAATGCCCCCTGCCCCCCAACCCACCCTATTGATAAACCTCTGTGCATACATCGACTGACTTGAATAGATATAGAAGAGTGTATATGCATAGGCTGAAAGCTTGTGTTTGGTCTAGCCCTCTATTCATTGAATAAATTTTTTTTTCTAATTTTAAAAATAAAAAAATATTTAAAATTTTGTAACAAATCCTTTCAAAACTAATAACATCTTCCGCTAGAAATCGGCTTGATTTTTTAATTTTCTTCTGTTTCAAATTGCACAGTTTTATAATAATAATGATTTCGATCATACCCTGATGATGGATTAACAATTTTTAAAAATATGAGTCGACCCTAAATGAAAAAAACCAAAACAAACGTTGTAGATATAATTTATTGTATTTTGTATATATATTTATATGATATTTTAAAAGAAACGATCTCACTATTTCTATACTGTGAAACATGAAATTTATAAATTACCTTGATGTCACATTAAATCTAAATTGACCATACTTTTCAACCATATTCCAAGCCCGGTAATTCTTTAAACTATATTCAGGCTGGTTCAAACCAGGGTTTTCAAAGAAATTCGGAAACTAAAAGATGAAAGTTTAAACCCAGT